AAAGTGAATCTCTCTAAGACTGCCACGTGGTACATTATAGTGACAGTGATGATTATTTATTTATCGAGTTGTTGAGTTTACCTTGGAAAAGTGGAAAACCTTATACATACCCAAGGACGGTCCCACCAAATCCAACGAGCCACATAACATCATGATTAATGGGAGCATCAGGTGATGTGCATGCAGGTGCATGTGAGGCGGTGAACCAAAACCATTAATTAGAATCTTTTTGGGGTTCTACTTCTGGGATGATTAAGCAAATCCCATAGTAACATTAAAAAGAGGTTATTCAGATTCGCATTAATTACTCGAATTTACCAATCACGACGTTGCATGGAGCTTGTAAACTAATCACCATTAAAATTTTCATTGCACGTGAATGTAACACTGCATGTAGAGTCCAAAATTACACACATATTTTAGCATCACTCTGTCACGATCAATTTTATATATGAAGTACGTAATCCAGCTCTTATCATAACCTAAATTGTTTATTTTTAAATAAGAACTACTACTTTTTTAAAGTATGACTCTTTGTTATATAATAATTTAATGTTAATTCTATGTTGATATTATAAATTTTTGCGAAAAAAACATAAGATGCTAGAGTATTTATGGAGAGTCCCATTTTTAAGGGAGTCTCGTTAGCATTTCTTTTCTTTTCTTTTTTAAATTAACTTGTAAAAATTAATTAAATCTAAAATTATTTAGTCACCTAGTGGTATTCCTCTTCACTTGTAAGTGAGATTTCTTAGATTCGATTCTTACCAAAGGAGAATTTGAACCACATTATTGCTAGTCCATTGTTAAGCTTAGCCGCCCATTTCCTCACCCTTAGTATAAATAATATCGTTTATTGAAAAAAAAAGGAAAATTATAATTTGACAAAAAATAGGCAAATTATAATTTGATTGGTTTTCAAGGGTGAAATAGAAATATATGATTTTAATCATTGAGCAACATTGCTTAATGAAAAAAGTCAAGCTATCAACCGTCAAATCATGTGGTTTCCACTATTGTGCAACATTATTTAAAGGTGCTAGAAAGACCATTTTTTGACTATATTTTGTAGGCCACATGATGTGGCGTTTAGTGGTTGAATTCTTTAAAGGGAACTTTGACGAAAAGCTCCTGATATTGTTTACTTTAACGAAAAATCACATTTTTACATTAAAAAATCAATCATGATACTATTCGCTTTACCCTTTATTTTGTCCTTATCGTTAAAACTCAAAGTTTTCAAGCAATTTTCATTAGTTTTCCTTTCTTTAAATCATTATAAATGAAATTCAATCATCAACCGTCACATTATATAATTTAAAAAAATATGGTTTAAAAAGATTGGTATCCCTAGCATGTTTCTATGTATTCTGTTAAATAACTGTAAAATTTATTTATGTGGTATACTTAGGGCCCAATTATAGCTGACGTAGAACAAATATAAAGCTCACATATCTAATTAAATAATGCCACATAGATTGGAAAAAAAAAAAAAAAAAAAAAAAGCAAATGAAATATTGTATAACATATTAAAAAAAGGAAAATTAAGAAGAATAGCAAAAATAAATCCTGGGGTTCATCCCTCCAGCCCTTCTCTCTTCCATCTATCTCACTAATTGTTGTCCATGCATTCATTCGTTTTCTCTCCGTTTCTAGCCACCTTATCATTAGTTTCTTTAATTTCATTATTTCTTATGTTCTTATTGGAGGTGGTTGCTGAAGAGAGAAGAATGTTCTTTTTGTTCTTTTTTACTATTCATTTATTTCATGGGGAATTTAGCATATTGCTAATTATAAATTATGAATAGCTGAACTTATTCTAGAAAATAGAAATAGTTTTAAAAAATAAAGTGGTGAGTTTTGAGCTTCAAAGAGCAAAATGAGATCTAAATCGAATTTCAAGGAGTAAGGTGATGAGTTTTGTGTTTCAAAAGGCAAATGAGATTGAATTTCAAAGAATAAAGTGATAATTTTTAAATTTCATAAGACAAAATGAATTTGAAATTGAATTAGATAAAACATAGCTAAAAATGAGCCTACAACTTATTGGTACTTAGGCAGAATAATTAATCATTATTCTGTTTGCGTTGTAATGTTAAATACCAAAAAATAAACATATAAGTGGTGTGTCTTGGGCTAATCGTAGTTTGCTTGTTTGCATTGTAATGTTGTGTGTATTCTCTCCTCTCCATCTCGTAGTTTACAACAAAACGAAGAGAGAGAGAGAGAGAGAAAGCATCTTTTGGAAAGCGGTAGTCGTCCCGTTTGTCCAACTGTGGCCTCACCAATCTCTGGACGATCCGATTCTCTCTGTGTCTTTGGTTGTGTTTTGAATCTTTGATCAAAAAATGGGGTCGGGCCTACAGAGAAGTTTGTTGGGTGGGACTTGCCCCATCATCATATATAATTTTCTTGGGTCCCACTTTTATTATTTTACTACTACGTACTCTTTTGATCTTTTTTGAGTTTCCATCTTTGACGGTTTGACTGACCTAATAAACAAAAAAAAATAAAAATAAAAAATGCAAAACTTGCGAGTGTTAGGTGTTGCTTTGATGATTGCATGGTGTCATATATTTGTGTAACTTTATCTGTCTGTCTTACATCTCTTTAGCTTTTCTGTCTGATCAAAATCTCCAAATCTTCTACTACTAGTTACTCCCACGAAATCTCTATAAAAAGTTAGCTATCCATCTTAATATATTTATCTATCTAATCTTCTTGTGATGGGTTATTCCAAAACCTAATCAAGATCCTCAAGGTTTCTATCACGAGTCATGACCAAATTGGCTTCTTTTTCCACTTTGTTTCCTACTTCCACGTGATTTCACTCGGTACGGCCGTTGCAAATTATACTAGTTCTAGTACTTACACCTTTGCTAGCTAAAAGATATAGAGAGAGCTTAAAAACTGGCTCTTATTATGGTATTGGACTTTTGGGGTTTGTTGATGTTGTTACCATCAATGTTGGTAAAGGATCGATTTTGATGGATTCCATACTCTGTAGCAACCAACTTATTAAGTAGTCATTGTATTGTTGAATAAATACTACTGCAAAAAATATATATATCGTGATCAGTCGTTCTTGTGTATGTGAGCAGATCTAGTCGTTGCATAAGTTATTCAACTATGTATCACTGTGTAATACACATTTCAATTTAAATGGCATAATTAGTCTATTTGCTATGTTCACTTGAATTCTTAAGTGTACATTCAATGATTAGATTCAACCTAACTTCACCAATGTACATTTATGCACTCTATACTTTTTGTTTTGTGAAAATCACGAACGTGAACGACATTCATCATAATACTCTTCAAGTACTCCACTAATTCTAATTGTTCATGCTTTGTGAGTTCCACAAGCAACATTGATCCTAATACTCCTCATGCTCTCGACCAATCTTAATTATTTATTTGTTTTGAATTTCAAAAGCATCAATGACACTACTCATCGTACTTGTCAAATTATATTCGATAGTGACAAGTTGTGGCACATGAAGGATTGGTTCTAACTAGTAATTCATGATTCGTGAGATTGTGTCTCAGAAGCATGAATAAAACTAATACATACTTGCTAGTGGTGTGACATTTTCGTTTTTATTTTGCAGTACATAACTACATACATATGATAATCCAAACAAAGCTTAGAAAAGGAGAGCGTGACAAAGACTAACAAGGGCTTTGAATATCTGAATATACTCGTGGCAGAGTAGGAGAGAGGGGTATATTCGAGAATTGGGAGTGAGATGAACAGACGAGTAGAGAAAGGAGTGTGGGAGTGCGAATGGGACTGGGAATAGGGAGGGGGAGAGGGAGGGGAAAGGACTATTCCATTTCCTTGGGAGGGTGGCAGTCCGTCCAGAGAGAGAGAGAGAGAGAGAGAGAGAGATACGGACAGAGGTTTGTTGATGTTGTATTGGGTTTGTGACCAGAACAGACCAGAGACTAATTAGTCCTCGTGATCGGAGAAGGCAGATCTATAGAAGACTGTTCCCGCTAGTCACGTGGGCTCTCTTTTGACTACGCCCATGACCAGAACACCAAACCCCACTATTCCTATTCTCCCCAACTCCTCATTTAAACTTTTTTTTTTTTGATATTCAAAATTTTATAAAAACTAGAAATATTGTGTGTAATTGAATTTATTTATGATATAAATTTTGAGAGATGACATTCGTTTTCTTGTGAACACTTATATAATTTTGTTTTATGTTTATTATGTTAAAAAATAAATAGAGCTGTGAAAGGAAACAATGGCCGAAAATTATTTTTTAAAGTTCACTAATGCACATGATATCATGTATGTGGTTGATAGTCAAGTTTATACTAAAGGAATAAAACTCAAGTTAGGTTGTTAAAATGTTAATTTACAGCCTATTATATACTCGGACAACAACTTTATATATTAAGGTTGAGCATAAATAAATAATTTTCGTAAACTATAATATCGCATTACATTTGAGCCTTGTGATGTCGCTTTTCATGTTATTGATAGGCACAATGGTAGACTCCAATACCATATTATAGTATGATGTTCATACTGGAGAACTTGTGGTGTTTTAAGTTGTAACATTACATAATAAAACATGAATTTAGTTAAATTGACTAGAATAATACATATGAATTTAAGCACTTTTCTGTAATTTAATATAAAATGTCGCGCTTCTAAGTAAAACACAAGCCACAAAGCAAAATAATTTTAATAATATGTGAAGAAATATTTTTGAAATTTATGGGTGGCTGTTAGCCTGCAAAATATGTGAGAATCCCGTCACATACACCACTACTACACTACACTTGTTGATGCCCTAGAAGATTATACAACACTGACTATATATGTGAGTCGTGACTCAGTCTACTTGGTCCATCTCTTTTCTCCCTTTCTCTCTCTGTAACATGCAAATTTGGGTCCCTCTCTGTCTCCATCTTTATCACCCTCTCACTTACTATATATAATACACTCTATTTGCATTTCACGACAACATCGACTGCAGCTGCTGACTGGTATTTCGCCCTTTTATTAGCTTATAAAGCTACCAGACAACCCTCCTCCTCACTTCCGTTCCCCCCCCTACTCTTCCCTGAAATCGTACACTATTTTCAGCTCTCACCTCCTCTCTCCCCCAAGTATTATTTCCACACATTTATCATTACATATCGCTCTCACTTCCCTATTTGGCTCTTGTACTTCTTCGCCTCTCCTCACTTTCTCTCTCTACTCTCCTAACTTTAAACCCACCACATCTCCTACTCCCACTCTCTTCACTTTTTTTCAATTCTAAGCAAAACCAGTTTCAGAAAACCCATTTAAAAAATCCAACTTTTACTCGAATCCCATTGAAAAAAAGGAAGAAAAATAGAATAGAAAAAAAACCATGCATAGGTGCAGTAATGGCTCTTCACATGGCGGCAACATGGTCGGCGGTCCATGTTCGTGCGGTGTCCTTCACCATACCCAATCCAACTCCTCCTTCTCCATGCTCTTCTCCATGCCTAATCACCACAAGCCGTACGATCATATTCATCACGAAACATCGTACGATCATCATCACATGTACCCGTTCGCATCCCCATCATCCTCCGTCGATTGCACTCTCTCTCTAGGAACTCCCTCGACCCGTTTGACCGACAACGACGTCGTTTCCGACGACAGGCGTGCGCGCAACGGCGAGCGGCGCTCCGGTAACTGCGTTTCCAACTTCTGCTGGGACTTGTTGCAGCCCAATAAGTCATCTCCGTCTTCCCATCACAAGAACGGCAGCCGCGGTGGCAATATCAACGGCGTTACTAACGCTGTCAGTAGTAATAACGATCCCCTTCTCGCTCGCCGCTGCGCTAACTGTGACACCACCTCCACACCTCTCTGGAGAAACGGTCCAAGAGGCCCCAAGGTATGTACCAAATTTACAATAATGCCATTTCCCATTTTTGTTTTGTATTTTATTTTGGTGGTGATGTGGTTAATTACCAGTTTATCGAAATAAAATGATGGGATTTTAAGCTTCTTGTCTGTAATCATTATCACCTATTCCCAAGTAGTCAACCCACCAATGATTTTCCCTTTTTCCTAAGCACTTTTTTTTCCTTTAATTTTTATTTACATGTACTAATTATTTTTTGTTTTTTGTTTTTGTAACTACTTTAGTCACTGTGCAATGCCTGCGGCATTCGTTTCAAGAAAGAAGAGAGACGTGCCACTGCGGCAACAGCCAACGGCGGTGGTTCGAGTGTCGTAGGAATGGAGTCTAACGGATACCACCACCACAACTCATGGATTCCGCACTCGCAGACCCAGAAAATGGCATGCTTTGGTAACGAATTTCGGTTCATCGAGGACGACACCGTGCACCACGAAAACGACATGAACGGCATCCCCTTCCTGTCCTGGCGCCTCAACGTCACTGACAGGCCAAGCCTCGTCCATGATTTCACAAGATGATCAACTCATGAAGATGTTGAAGATTACTTATTTAAACTGTTGCTTAGTTTGTTTTTCTTTTCTCAAGTGTTTTTCTGTTTATTTTTATTTTATTTTTTGGTTTCTTGTTTTTATGAAGTTACATATAAATTAAGCTACTACGACGTTTCTGTTATAATGGACGATCATGATGATTATGACTATGAGTTTTTGAACTTTAATTCTTAAAAAAATTAAAATTTAATTAAAATCTGGTATTAAGTTACATATTAATTCTAATTCTTTAATGTGTACCTTAAATTAAATTTATTCTTTAGTTTTGTTTTAATATTTAATGTGTACTTTTATTCAAGGGATCACCACCATATGAATTAAAATCTGGTATTAGGTTATATATTAATTCTAATCTTTCATGTGTAATTTAAACTAAATTTATACTTTATTTTTTTTTACTATTTAATGTGAACTTTTATTCAAGGGATCACTACATATGGAGACAAATATATATATATATATATATATATATATATATTTCAAGAAATTTTAATAGTTAACATTTTAAGAAGAGACAAAAACACAAAAACATCGAAAGCTCATCCTAAAAATATGAAAACAATTTTTTAAAATATCAGCGATACCCTTAATATGTTTGTTATCATAGCCCAGCCCACACAACTTCAAAGAAAATTAATGTGTGCCATCAGCTGAAACCACCATCGATAATTTTTGTAGGATTAGTCTTGAAATTGTGTGCCAATTCAATTGGTATCTTTATTGCTAGAATTGATCCAACCTATCCTCAACTATTTTTTGAGAATCAGTTTAACATACAAGTAGAACTAGTTTTGTATTGTTTTTAGTAGAATCAATTTGTATATTTTCAACTAAACTATATATATGTCATCAGTCTAACTTGTCCATGATATTTTTGCATAACTAATTTCAAATATATGTGAAATCAGTTTTGTATATTTTTTAGTAAAATAATTTGTATAGTTTTGTAGAATTAGCTTGTATATTTTCAACAAAACTACATACATGTCATCAGTCCAATCCCTCTTAGACTAGTTTTGCATAATCAATTTCAAATATATGTAGAATCAGTTTTGTATACCTTTGAGTAGAATCAGTTTTGTATACTTTTGAGTAGAATCAATTTGTATAGTTTTTAGTATAATCAGCTTGTATATTTAATCATCCCTTCCTCACCCTTTCTTCATTCCGATGAATGACAATGTTTACACAATTTCACTAATTCATCTATTAGTTTATCAAATCGTTGGTGACTTCAATAAATTTCCGTTTACAAAATGTAGATCTTGGATTTTTTTTTTTCATTTTACAAATTCAAATCATGGTTTTCCCATGAAATAAATTTTCGATAGATTTTATTTTGTTAACAGAATTTGAAATAAAACAGTATAATTTTGGCCGAGAAAAGCACGGCAAAAGTCTTCTGATTCATAATTTGTTGATTTGAAATTCATCTTAATTTGGAATTCACATGATAACGTGATTAAGGATATAGAACATAATTGTTACGCGATGTCAGGGAAGGAAAATAATTAATACTACTAAACTACCGTTGTTTTTCTCTAATGATCATAGTGAGCAAATCCTATGAATAAAATGTAGACTTTGCATGCAGGCAAGACATCGACAGCAAATGAGTTCTCAAGGTAGCATAATCAATTTTGTATCCGTTATAACCTAGTCTGGTAACTTAACAATTAAGGAAGAGCTATTAACAAATAGTCTGTTTGGCAGAACAAGCGACCAATATTTCTTGAACTGAGAAAGAGAGTGAAGGGACCAAGAGATGAAAGTGTGAAAAGACTTTTACCACTATAAAAAGTATTTTTGTAACTTACACTCCAATGAAAAAAAAAAGTAAATGATGTCATCTTCCACGTTATTACTTTTGTCTCCCATTGAAATATTTAAAAAATGTTGTCTCAATATAAAATTAAGTATTATAAGTATACCTTATATGTAATTTTTCCTTTATTCAATGTCTCCCCTAAATATTTGAATTTTATTTATGTACACATTTTGATTTATCAATTTTGTTCAACTTTCTCCAATTATATTCTTTTAAATTTACTTGAATGACAAAACATTAAAAAAAATATGACATATAAAAAAATGTAAATATATAAGTATACCGAAAAAATATTAAAATGAATTGATGTACCTAAATGTCTGTATCGAAATATATTATAATGAAATATTGAATTATTGTACTTAAATATTAGTACCAAAGTGTATTATATTTAATTAATATACCCAAATGTCCATACCGAAGTAAATATACCAAAATATACTTACTTAAATGTCTATAACAAAATATATTATGACGAATGCAATGAAAATGAAAATTAAATGTAATTAATATAGTAAAATTATGAAGGAAAAAAGAAACAAAACATCAAAAAATAATTAAAAAAAATAAGAAACTAAAATTAGATTCTAATCTTACACAAAGTTAATAAATTTAGCATCTTTTTTAAAATGAAGTTTTTTACTTTAAAGTTATGCTGAGATTGCATGCGTACCGTTTGATTAATTAACTTGATAAGTTTGGTTCACTTTATTATTGACATAAGCAACATTCAACTTTAAAATACATTAGACATATCTACACTAAAACAATTTGGGTGTAACAAACTAATAACTAATATGACTACGCGCACATATGCGATAAGTTTGACCGTATTTTTATTTCTTTTGGATGAAGGCTATTTATAACTCTAAATTGTAGAGGAGTGATTCAAAGAGTGATTCAAATTCTGATGCAATTCTTTTGGATGCAACTGAGGATGTCCATTTAGTCTAAGCAATGTAGCTATGTTCAAACCTGTGATTCTTTTGACTCTCTTAGTTTTTAAATTTTTCGTTATACGATTATTAAAAACCATAGGAGGAGGAGTACCAGGTACTAGACGGCTATCACTTATGCAATGAACTGTAACTTAAATCGGAGGCTATTTTTTTACTGAATTTCTGTCACTACAAAAAAAATGAGCACTGCACACAAAAAATTATATGTGCCTTTTGAGGCCAAAAAGCACCAACATTTGTGCTCATAGACCAATAGCAACAGTGCAGCAACTAAGTTTGTATCTGTGCCCTCTATGGGCGTCACCATTACTTATAGCACACAATATGATGTTTTGTGCCCAAAGCTAAGCACAAATACAACCCTTATTGTGTCTTACCTCTAATAAAGGCTACTGAATGTATGGTGTAAGATGGGCACAATTGCTATTTTAAAGGCTTAGATTGCTGTATAAATGTTAAAGCAAGGGCACAACTTTAAAATTGTGCCACTATTATATTTTAATAAATACAATAAAACTCCAGCACAATTAAAAATTTGTGGCATAATTGGATATTTTTATTTAAACATGGAAATCATCAGGTTGCTCATAGAACCTAATTTCCACCTAAATTTAGAAACTTACAAATCATCCATTACAAACTAAACATAAATCAACATAGCACTAAAATAGTGAAGTTAATATATTACATAACCCATGTTCTCGGCTAAGACCGATTCATGCAACCTAACAATACAACCCATCCAAATGTTAAACCAAAAAATACATGTTATCCTATGCTGGACATACCCGGGATTCTCTATATACAACAAAATATAACATATCCAAGCTTGTATCCCCAAGTCAAACGTACTAATGGTTAAACTAGCAATATATAAACAAAATACACATCTACAAGGGCTGCTTGATGACAACTAACCAGTATTCTCACTTTGGCAGTCCTCATGCATCATAGCACTAGAAATTGGAGGTCCACACTGCACATTCTTGTCATTTCCACCTTCGAAACGCGTTGAAATCTGAGCGTGTGAGCTTCCACACCCTTGCTGCTGATATATATATCTTAGAATGACATTCCACCCCCTCCTGCCAATATCCTTTTAGAATGACATTCCTACCCATTTGCAAAACAAATTACAAACAAATCATAAGAGTATCTTCATTCAGAAAACCTGACTTCTAAACATGTCAATGTCCAAAATTCTCCCATTTTCAACATGCATTTTTCAAGAAGAGACATACACTGGCACACATACAATTAAAATCATATGAAAAAAAGAGCCAAGAAATCACATAAAAGTATCAATCTTTGAAATTTTATTTTCCTTTCCCCCATCACAGCCAAAAAATAAAGGGTAAGTCTACAAATATCAATTTTCATGCCACAAATTTGTGATACATTACAATCTAAAATCACACACATACATCATGCATATACATACATCAGAGGAAAGGAAGCAAATATTTTCAACAAACGCGATGTAATTCCTTACCTGAGAAAGGTTTGGCCCGGTGATGTGTACTATCCAAACTTTGCACATCCAGAAAGTGAAAAATATGACCTACCAAGGAAATCAGAGCATGCATGTGTTAGGTTTATCATTTGTCTGTCAAACTGTGCAGTAGAGACCAAAATCAAAGATATTGGTGTGTTTTACCTTTGAATTTTCCAGTTTCCAGACTGATTTGCAGTGGCGGACTGCATACGAAGTTGCAGTCCTCCTTGATTTTCTTTTGCTTAGCAGGAGAAAATGAGGCTCTGGGTTCGTGAATAAGGTCAGCAGTAGTATTTGCAAATAAACAACGATGTTAACTCTCATGTATACGTTCACTGATTAGATTCGATTGAATACCATTTTCTAGGGATGTAGAGCTCAGTGATGATTGACTCCTCGTTTTGCATCTTGTCGATTAAGATAATAACCTAGAAACCAAGATCAAACAAACATAGAAACATATATGAGAAATTACACGAATCAGCAAGGATTTTAAAGATTCGGAATGTAATGAAGAGAGGAAAACATGCTTATATGGCTAATATCATCAAAGAAATTGCAAAAAACAACAAATGGGGAAAATTACAGAACATGGGCATTTCCTAAAACTCCCATCATGTTTTCCATTCCAAATTTTTTTGGGCATACAAAATGAAGCTTATGGAATGAAGAGTAAGACTATTACCTTTGCCAGACCCAAAGTGGTTGCAAAAGCTTGAAAAACCACGTGCCAATCCTACCAAAGTCGAATCGACAACCGAAAGGAAACCCATTAAACCACATTCCAATTCAACCAAAATTCAAACTTCACCTCAAATTAGATCAACAGAAAGAGAAATAGGGGAAAACCCAAATGCCATAGGATAGAAAAACAGGGGAGAGGGAGAGAGGGAGAAAGGGAGAGAGGGAGAAAAAGGGAGATTACAATGAGTGAGTGGGCAAAATTTGAAAGCTTCGGTGAACTCGTGGCTCCCCTACGACTCATTGCATCAATAGGATTAGAGGATTCTGGAAATAAAAAAATTACCGAACGACCATAAATTCAATTAAATAAAATTTTAAGAATTTCGTAAAATCCTGGAACGAATGCTCACAAAAGATGAATAACATATAAATTTAAACAACAAAAAAATTGAAAAATACCTCAACAGAACAGATGGGCAATAGTTATAAACTATTGGCCTGGAAATAGTTGACAAACCACAACCCCATGTCCATGATTTCAACACTGTCAATGTCATCACCTGAAAAGGTATGTAATATATGTTTGTTAATTTCTACAACTAAAATAAAAAACCAACATACTTACTCATGTGTTATGTTTTGTGAAAATCCAAATGAAAATGTATTAAAAAAAATAATAATAATTATACAGTAGCAACTCTTCATAGAATTCTTCTTCTATCTCCTCCACTTTTTGACCACGATATCTGCTTCCATATATTAGGTAAACAACACGTGAATACATTTAGGATAGAAAATAAACGTTTATGTTAACCCTGCACCAATCAGCTAAATTTCGCAGTTAGCACAACATTTTCATTCCCTACTTAACAGTGAATTAACTATCTACCACTGCCAGATAAATAAGCATTGCTCTTAAAATGATACTTATTAAACTTAACCTTCTTCTTAATTAACACGAAACCGCAGATAATCACCCAAACCAAACTGTTATTCAGTATATAAAGCAAATTACAAACACTTGGAACAAACATTTCAAATTATAAGATCTAATTATGCAATTTCAACTCGATTTTCCTCCGACACAATCAAATTTCACAAAACTAAACACGAAATGCATCGAATTTGAGGGCTTAAGAACAGCATTAGGTGCAAAAACTGAAATTTCAATCACCTCGGGCGATCAGAAGCAGAAGGAAGAAGGCCGAGCAATCTGGCACACCTAAAGGAGCTCAGAATCTTCTCGCCGACCTTTGACAAATCCATCGCACCCCCTTAATAGGGGACCAAAAACGAAACCCCAGAGCTCTCACTGCCCTCGCTCAAATCGCCATTGAACACAAACGGATTCGCCAAAACACTGCCGAAGGGAGACAGATTCAGCTGCATTTCAATTCGAACCATGGAAAATGACTAACCCAATTTTCAATCACTTAAAAGTAGATCGAGTGAGAGAGAAAGTATACTGTCGTAATAAAAAAAATCAGACAATCATGATTTTCTATCAGAGCAACCAGGAAGAGAATAAAATCCCCTAAAATCCCCAAGAGCAGAGAAAGAACTCACCGAAATTGAATCGAATGGAGAGAACGAACCATTGATGAGGAAAGTGGCAAACCAAGGAGAGGGGCGACGTATGAGTGAGTTTTGGGCTGTGGGTTTCGGATTTCTCGTTCAGGGGAAATGGAGAGGATTCTAGGGTTCGGGGAAGCAAAGAGCAGGGAGAAATAAGGAGGAGCCATCCGGATACCCAAAAAACGAAACGATTTCTAGGGTTTGATGGAGATGAATGTGCAAAATGAGAGAAAAGAAAACTAATAAGGGAAATTAATATCTCTGATGATTCGCCCAAAATCTGACCTAACACACTAAAAAATTCGAAAATAATCCACAACAAAAAGGCAGAAACGTGACAATCTAAGCTGATAAAAAAAAAAAAAATTTAAAAAGCACTTATCTTTCGAAATTCAAGCATGTAGATCCGGATAACCCGTATGGTTTTCTCTGACCATCCCCACTCTCCCACTTCTGAAATCCATGACTCATACCTCTCCTCTTCGCTCTCTTTCCATCGTCATCTCTCTCTCTCTCTCTCTCTCTCTCTCTCTCTTTCTTCCGCTCTCTGTCACAGTCTCCATCCCCCCGAAACCCTCATCGAAGGACAGCACACAACAACCCTCGAACTCAGTCAAAACCGAGAAGATATTACCCACTTTCCCACTTCTGAAATCCATCAGCCATACCTCTCCCCTGCGTTGTCTTCCCCTCGAAATCTCTCTTTCTCTCTGTCTCTCTCTCTCTCTTTCTCTCTCTGTCTGTCTCTCTGTCTCTCCGTTTCTTCCGCTCTCTGTGAGAGCTTCATTTCCCCGAAACCATAAATGAAAGACAGCAAGTGCAACCCTTACACGGCAACCCTTTAATTCACTCAAAACCGAGAGGACAAAATTGCCCTTCCAACCTAGTCCACAAATAATGGGTTTCTTGCAAATAAGGTGAAATGAAGGGGTAATTCGTCCTAAACCCTCCGGACAAAATCACCCTTATCAGTTCAAAATAATATCCTTCAAACCCAGCCCAATTCTCATGGTTTTTTTGTAAATAAGATGAAATCGAGGGGCAAACAATTGACTGTAGCCCAATGAACAGTCAATTGCTCCTTAGTTTTAGAATAGATAATGTCTCATAACCTTTGTGTTGCCACGCTGTGAATTCACTGAATTCTGCGGTATGAAGCGGACGAGAAACATAATTATAACCTAAAAAATTATATACTAGGAGTAAATCTACAAGGACTAATTAGAAAGAAAACATTATTATATTGGAATACGACATAAGTTGATAAAAGGACCCAAGAGGAGTCCAGCATAGCATAAGATAGTTATATTTTCATAGTACACCAGTGAAATATAACATAATACAAAATATATTAATTGTCCTCGTCATCGCTGCTTAAAATCTCAACGGTAACATTCTGCATATTTCGTGAGCTCAACTGTGGGACAGACAGACCTCTAGGACGAATTTGTGCTTGATAAGTGCGTGGTTCTTCAATACTAACGACATAATTGGTAGACTGTTCAGTTGTTGTTTCAGCAGAAACCAAATTGACAGGATATTGTTCTGTCCTACCTGGGTTTGCCCATGCTGGCAATACACGTCCTTGAGGTGCGCGTACGCATCCGTTATTGAAGGGTAATGCGTAGCCAAGGCGACCATCAACAAAAGTAGTAAGAATGTACTGATTATTAAAAGGACGAGGCATGCGCCCGGCATTAACAGGTTGTCGTGGACGTTGAACTGGAGGATTCGTTGTGGAATTTTCTGTTGTAATGTTGGAAGCAATATACGAATGTGATGCTGGAGATTCAGTTCCAATTCTAACTCCACGACGTCGCCTGTCCGCCATTGTCAATGATGTAGAACTTGCTCAAATTCAAAAGAAACATATGTGTATGAAGCAACCTTCTTAATTTCCATATACAAATTAGTAAGGGAGTGTGTGGACGTTTTATAGTAGAATAAAGGCACAAATCCATAATTGTGCCAACATATTCTTTTGCTATAGAGTATTTATTATTTATTAATATTTACTGGACACAATTTCTAACATTTGTGTCAGAAAAGAGGAATTTATAATTATTAAAATATATTCTCTATTTGAAGACCCAATGAGAAGTAGAGTGATTTATTATTTATTAATATTTAGTGGACACAATTTCTATCATTAGTGTCATAAAAAGGAATCTACAATTATTAACTCATTTGTCTATCTGAAGACCAACTAACTTTTGCACAGAGACCAACCCTAAGGGCACAATTGTTGGTTATGTGTCACTGCAGGTAGGACTTTAAAACCAAAAACCATATCACCAAGTATAAAAAACAAACCTGCAAGAAGATAACAATCCAAAAAGCAATTCAAAAAGATACGAATCTAACAAACATTCATTGCACCTGGAAATGATCCTTTGTAAATCTAAAACATGCCACTTAGTACTATGGTGTAGTGGTATTCTTCTTTACTTGTAAGTGAGAGATCTGAGGTTCAGCTTTCGGGAAAAACAAATTTGAACAACATTATTGCTAACTTATTTTGAGACTAAAATATTGCACGGTAATAAACAGCTTCATACCATTATTTACCACAATTTTATAAATTTTAATTATTGGTGTGCTAGTGGAGGTAAAGACAAACGAGAGAGAACATATAGTGCCTTTGACAAATAATTTTTATAGACACAAAATATTTTTTGTGCCCATTTTCAGTAAAAAAGTTGTCATGTGATCCCACTCGACACGATTTCCGTGCCCATTACTGTTTTGTGTCTGCTTTTTTTAACATTGGGCACAATAGATGGTGCCCTCTATGGAATGGGAATTGTTTAAGCTTTTTGGTGGTCAAATTGACACAAAATTCTCAATTGTGCCCTTTATTTTGTACCCAAAGCTCATTTTTCTTGTAGTGTGTTAACTTTTTAACTGGGATTGATGCATCTGATTGTCCAATGGCGATTGTTATATCACTGTGTTTCGACTTGGACCGGACACTACTGTGGGTTCCGTTCAGAACATGAACATGATTTGTCTTTTTCTGATCATGTTCTGACCGTTCAAAACTTCAGATATTTCTGCATAGTTTGGTCCCTTAATTTTATTTCTTCTAGTAAATAATTTCTTTGTACCAAATAATTGAAATTGTATTGTTTGTGAACTTCCAATCTGTGAATTTAATGGGCAGATGGAATGTTTTGATCATGCATGCCGATCGCCATGCAGTTTATAGAAGTCTCACGGGTGACGACATGGAGGGTTTCTGCTGGTCAAACTAGTATATAAATATACATATACTGTCAGGCTTAAATTCGTATTATCAACAGAGGGAAAATAAATTTAAAAAATGAAAAACAAAGTACATGGATTTGTGTAATTCCATTTTTATCTTTGTTTGTATGTTGTAAATTTTTGTAGCTTTATCACATGGTCGATATTCCTCTTGTGTTACAGCTTTGAATGGGTTCAGTTTTCTATAAGTTGCTACTGCAGAAAATATATCTAATATATCAGTCTAGCTACAAGTCAAGAAACTGGACGTGGGGATGACTGATGAGGAACAAATGTAGCCTCGTTGGGTTGAATATTGGAATGAAATTGATAAGTTACTATATTAAGATAAATTAAAGAAAAGAAAAAAAAAAGAAGAAAATAATGTGAGCAACTTGTTTGGATTAGATGGGAGAAGTTTATCAATTTCAATCTAGTTCGACAATCAAACAAGGCCTACATGTTTTAATTATCCCGTGCTAAATATCATTCAATGAAAGCTTTATGCTAATTTTCGTTTGACAAAAAATAAAGTTTTATGCTTATTTTATCAACCATCTGTTTAAAATTGAAACAATAGATAGATGAAGTGTTTAAATTACTTACGAATAGACCAATTAGTTCGTTGTTTGGAGGCGTGTCTCTTCCTAAAATTGGAAAGTGCCTCAAATTTGAGTTACAATATCCCTGTCCATTGATAAGAAAGAATGTGTGACAACCCAACCCTAATTTCACGATTTTATACATTTTAAAAGAGTGATTTACGAAAATGCCCTTAGAGGCGAGGATGTTTGACTTTTGTTGCCCGTCTTTTGTGACGTGTACAAGCTATTCTTTTTGCGAATTCTCAAAGTACTCGACGATACGAACACGTGGGCGCAAAAGGAACGCAATTTGGAGTTATAACGAAAGAGTTATAAATGAACAAATGTAGGGGCAAAATAGTCATTTTGCAATGAATTTGGAAGACTCTAGATTTGTGGGAGCCTTGTCTTGGTGGAAGGAAGCCACATGAGTGGTTGGGGATAAAAGAAAAGAAAAGAGAGAGGGTGAAGAAGGGTTTGCCTAATCAGAAGAAGGGAAAGGAGAAAAAAGAATGGAAGATGGACGAATCATAAGAGAGAACATGAGGGAAAAAAGAGGGAGGTTGGGCAAATGGGGAGAAAAGAAAAGGAGAAAGGGCAAATCAGGAAGGAGAATAGGGAGGGAAAGGAAGGAGTGGAGAGGCACATAACCAAGACCCTTTTCCTTTCACCCATTTCTAAACCGTGACCCAGCCTTCGAACCAGACCTCCCCGAGCCTTTTTTTGACGATCTCTGTTATTTTTCTGGTAATTCAGGACTCTTCAACACCTGCAAACATCACCACACCACTCCTCCTTCATTGATCATTAAAGATTCGACAGGATTAGGCTCGTTTCGTGGTGTACAACGGCGATGACATCATGAGGTTCTTAATGGCAATCCGCCAATTTTGAATGAAATTCCCTTCATCTACACCACCATTAGACTTTCCTTGAGCCCAGGAACAAACCCCAAACAACCTTGGAGGCGGCGGAGCACCGGAGAAGTTGAATTAAAGCCACCCATTTCTAGTGTTTTTGATGAGTTTGAGGGAAATTGGAGCTTTTCCTGGCCAAATTGAACTTGGTCAAAGGTATAAAACTTGCTCTACTCATTGAGATATTCATTTATGTGAAATTTGGTAATTTTTGGAAATAGTTGATTTTTTTGGCGAGTCGAGGTGGCCGACCATCGCGTGCGACGACGGGTGGGCCGAAACCTTGCCTGACCATCCTAGGCTAATTTGATGCTCCGATTCCATAATTGCATCCATTTAGTGAAATCCTAATGTTTTAGTATAGTTTCGTAGTAGACCACCTAGTTGGCCGCCACTTGGTTATTACATGAATGGACGATCCGACCGTTGGATCGGCACCAAACTTTAATGCATGATAGTACGTAATATTTGTGGATATTAGGAACTTACGGATTGGCAATCTGAATTATGGATCTTCCTAAATTGAATTTCTAAAGTTTGTAAAATCCAACTTTGCCCGTCACTTGAATTTGCGATTGGCGAAGATCCCACCGTTGGATCGTAAAGAAGTTTTATGTTCTTCTAGAAGCATAGTGTGGACTT